TGTTGAAAGGTAAAATTGTTTTTATAACTGTGGTATGCCAGGAACACTTTTTCTTGTAAGTGTCTGAGGTATAGGGCTTTAGATTCCTTCCCTATACCTTTGGGCGGATAAATATTTTTTAGTGATATTAGAGTTTTAGGGAACCACAATTAATATAATTCTTCCTATTTATATTTCACATGCATTTTGGCGAGAAATAACAATGTTAGTATTTTTAATAAAACCTTGAGATTTTGCGGAAGAATAAAGATACGTTGTTAATATACGTTTATATACAATGGAACCCATTATACCGTCAATAAAAACCAACTCAATTATATTTTTAGACGAGATAAAACTCCATACTAACAGCCACTTTCCACTGTGCTTGACTGTCAGCACAGAATTTTTAAATTTGAGATTTTCTGTAAATTTCTATACTATAAAATCCTCTATCAAAATTATAAAAGTCTTTTTGTTTTAGACTAAAAACAAGCTCGTACCACTTCCTTAAAGTCCAATTGCTCCATGGTTAGCTGAGTATAATCTGTTGTTATGCTACTCTTTCTTAATGATAAAAGAGAAAACTTTCTAGCAACTCTTCCGTTATAATTATAGAAATCAAGAGCATTTTAAATAGTTTTAGTGATACGTTTTTATTTGATTTTTCTAGATGTATTTTGCGTGGTCTTTACTCAGAAAATTTTGGGAATTTTTCAAATTCTGCTTCTAAAATGCTTTTATCTTCGTCATCGAAAGAAAAATTTCTTCCTGAACCTCTTAATCTTAAAATATATCCCGTTAAAACATATTTTTATACATTTTTGTTCAGTTAACTTTTGATTTCCCGCTTTCAATGTAATTTTTTGTTGCAAAAATTTAGGTTCAAAAAGTGCAAATATTTAACTCTCGTAGACTCTTCAACTGATTTGGCAATAGCAAAGGCGACAAAAAAACATATATTAAATCTAAACGGGTGTTCTGGAAGGCGAATTAGTTTAAGTGTAAAGTGTTTGGTTTTTCTTTTGTCATCCATTTTAAAAAAGATAAAATATCATATTTTTTTGTTTAATATTAAGATCCTAAGAAAAAGGATGTTTTCGTTTTTTTTATATTTTTTATTTACAATATAAAATATAGTGTTTTATAGAACTTAAACCGAAGTTATAGCAAAGAAACTGAATTTAGTAAAGCGGTCTGATTTTTTGGTGATATT